TTTTCCTTCCACCATGGGCTTTTAGTGTGTTGTAGAAATGTTTCCCACTTATAGTCGCAATAGGTTCTCCATGTTGGTCTTTGTCAATGATAATGTAGTTTGCGTAGTATCACCCATTGTCGCCAGTACGTTTACAAATTTCAGTCTTTATTTTAATAGCACCAGATTTGTTATGAGTTTCATAACAATGTTTGTTTGCCATGTTAATCTTATGGAGAAATACGAAAATTTAAAGGGCCCCAGGTCCTCACTCTCTAATTATTTCCCTAAAAAGAAAGTTTCTTGCACAACTTCACGTTATGCTCTTTCCAATGACACCAAAAACATGTCAATCGGTTCAGTAATTTCGGAGAAGTAATTGTCACAAAAAACCTGCTTGCGTATTTAATAAGTATAGATTTAAAAAAAAATTAGGTACATCAATCTCCTTAAAACCAAATCACAAATCCTTCAATCACTCAAAAGTCACAATAAATCATTAATAAAAACACAAACATTAGCTGTTATAAACTTTAGAATATTGTTATGCCTTTTTAATAGTGTGTCATCAAAATATATAAAAAAACAACATTTAATTTCATATAATTTTATTCATTTCAGTACATTAATACAGGAATAGCGATCTATACTATATAAAGTTGGAAATGGTTAATTTACCAAGTATCGAAATATAAGAAGGTTTCTACTGACTTATACAATCCCCGCCCATAGAACAGGCACCCTGCTAGTTAAATATCAAGATATCTCTTGTTACCCAAGACAAGGTCAGTTAGTGAAAGTAATCATTTTAACAAACATAATAAACAGTATTTTTTTTACCAGGCAGAAGTACAAACAAATATTAAAAATGTAAGAAAACATCTTCATAAAAACAATAAAATTATCTTAATTTAATAATCTGAATGAGAAAAAAATGTAAATACTGATGTTCAAAATAAATGTTAAACTAATCAACATAATGGATCCAAACTGATTTGTCTCCACTTCTTCAGCCTCCTCTCCCCCAACCTCCATGCCTCCATTGCCATCCACCCTGTCATCAGGCCTGGATATAACAGAACAAAAATTAATATTAAAAACAGTATTCTGAACAAAGAGTCTTTTTATGCATACTTCTATCATTATTTAATGTAGGCTACTCAGTGGCGTACTGAGGGGGGGGGGACGGTTTGCACCAGGCCCCACACCAACATAGGCCTCCAAATCAGGGCCGTATTCCCGTAACAGTGGACACTGCGATTGCCAAGGGCTTCGGCCTGGGAAGGGGACTCACTTGGGGCCTCAAAAGAATGCTTTTTCTCTTGGAAAATTAATTTTCCCACAATCTGTTAGAATTAGGGGGTACAATAATCCAAGTTTGTCTTGTATTCTCATGATAGCCGAAAGCGTCTGCAAAGATTGCGTGATCAAAATTTACGACTACCAGCGATCGCGGGTGACGATAATCAGGCCTCGCAACCGCGAAAGATGTTCACGATTGCTCCGAGGATGCCCACAATTTTAACCACTGGCGACCTTGGGAGATGAAGATGACGACCCTGCAATCACGATTTGGTCATTACCGAGGACAATATCGTTTAATTTTGCCACAATTGCAGTAATCGTTTGGATCAATATATAAGTGCCGACCCATATATCCCATTTTGTATAGGACAAAATATAATGTACCTGATTACCTTCTTCTTAGCCTGAGACCAGTAACACACTGGATAAGCTGCGTCCAAAATAATTTATATATATACATATTTACAAATGCTATTTACAATTTACAAAACTTCCAAGATGGAGTTGTAACGTGTCACACAGATGGCGTGGACAATGGTCTACTGTTATCAAAGTTTGCTTCGAGAAACTCTTTCAAGCTGTAGTAGGGCTGATCTCTAATGAGGCTCTTAAGATTTGAGGCAAACCTGTTACTCTCAAGCTAATTGATTCCGTCAGGGAGATTATTGTAGAGCTTTAGGGCCATAACTGGGAAAGCATCCCTGGTTTTGCTTAGCCTGCGGAAAGGAATGTCAATTTTTGTTTTGCACCTAGTATTGTGGCAGTGCACATCATTCCTTTTGTTGAACTTCCCCAGGTTATCATGGACATATTTTGCAGATGAGAGGATGTAACTACTGTGTCCTTATAAAAAGCGGCCTACAGTGTTCGCGCCTCCTACTACCCGTGATGACTCGCAACGCCTTCTTTTGCTGCCGTAGGATTTTCAGGCAGTCAGAGGATGTACAGAGTGTGGCAAAATTATCTGACAGTTTTCTTTGCTGCCCTGTCGGGCGAGTGACTGGCGGAAGGTGGTGGGGATAGGGGCGCTTCAAGGCCTACGTGCGGACATTTTTAGTTGCCATGGAGCTGGTCATCACTGAAACAGAAGAGTATTTTGAAGGCTTTTCAAGTTTGTAGGGTACTATTTATTTGGACATAATTTGAACGAGGTTGGAGAAACTTTAAGATAAGTGTATAGAGCTAAATAAAAGGAGATTATAGCAAAATAAATCAAAATTATCACAAAAAATTGTGATATTCTATATTCTTCTAAGGTCTTATTGAACCACGCTTGTACTACATACCTTATTGATGTATGAGAATTTTTATACTTGTTTCAACTGCTTCTGTTGACAGGGGCTTTTCCATTTGTCTTAAAATTATTGTTGTTTCAGTACTTACCAAATGTAAAAACTATGACATATTCAGAACAATTATGATTATGGTGTAAAAAAATATAGCCTACATTTCCTAAAAAAACAATACCCCCGCCGCAGCAAACCTGCAGACTAAGCGAATTTCCATTTGACTGATTGGATTTACACTGAAATGTCTACTTAAAAATATAACATTTATTCTTGACTAGCTGTGCGCCCGTTCTACGTACGGGGATCTTATAGTAGTCAGTTGAATGTGACAAAAATCACACAATGTTGGGTTTTTGGACATTTGTAATTTTATTTCTTAAGTAGGTAGGCTATAAATTCTATGGAAAAGTACTGGTATCAAGGATCGTCATCGAAAAGGTTGTTATATGAATAAATAGGAAGGCATACACGTACCCAAGAGATGGGCTATGGGCCTATTTGCTGTATGGTCCAGCGATTGCATTACACGGTGAGTACAGAAAGTGACACATTGGAAAAGCGAGTTTAGCATCATCCGTAAACCTCTGTTACAATCACCCACTGCAGTTGGGATTTTTTTACTTTACACTTTACACAATCGCCATTGAAGCGCCGTCAATGAGTGGAAACCTTGTTTGTAAGCTATTGGCGACGATCATTAACTGTCCCAGCCATATACAACACTGATTCAAGGTCTTTTTTCTGGTTATAAAAACTCAAGAACAATTTTATACACAAAGAATTTCTGGTTCCTGATCTGGATGATGCCTAGTTATTTCATTTCATTTACGGTTAGGCCTACACTATGATATTGCACTTAATTAAATCCGTTATGTAAGAAAAACATTTTTAATCTCACTTGTAACGTTGACAACGAAATCGTAAAGGTCTTCCGGGATCGCAGCAACACCCGCGATCACCCACTGCAGTACTGTAGTAATTATTTACTTGATAGAACAGCGATCAAAACGCCGTAAAATCTCGATTGTAGGCTATTAGTGGTGATTATTTAAAAAATTAAGTTTCCCAGTCTTATACAACACTGATTTACTGTATTTTCCCTGGTTATCAAAACTTAAGTTGAATTTTATAGACATAGAATCTGCAGGTTCTTGACCTGAATGTGGAAGATGATTATTTGAATTTACAGTTAACATTATAGTACTTGCGATCGATTAAATCCGTTATGCAAGTCAAAAGGTCAATTAACGTACTTGGTTCCTCAATGAATGGTTTTCGATTTGCGTACAAAATGTGATTGGAAATATTGCAGTATTTGTAAACAAAATGTAATGTAAACAATTAAACATATCAGTGACAGCTAGAAGTGAGAATTGATCCAAACAGCTGTTCGTTATGTCATAAAATGTAATAGTAAACATTAGAAGAAAACTTGACAAAAATCTAACAAAATTGGGTTTTTGATGGTTCGTTATATTTTTTCAAAAATGGTTAGGCCATATTTTATTAGCCAAAGACACTCTCGCCAATCCAGTGAATACAGAAAAATAATTGGAATCTTGATCTGTACTCTAGTTTTCAAGGAGTAGGCCGCGTAAAATGACATTTTGGCGTTACAGACGGTGTCACAGAATGGACAGACAAACAGACAGAAATTGAGATAAGACTCGTTTCGGCTTTCTTAGGCTATGAAACGTAATAATAACCAAAAACTGCATGATTCTAAGCAATGTACAGACAAAACTTTAATTTTATTTATATAGATTTAAATTGAATTAGTTTAACAAGTACTTAGGTTTGCTGCATCAGGGAGGGTAAAACTGTTTTTTTTTGTAAAATGTGAATAGTTAGTAAGAAACGAAAACATTTTCCAAATTCGATCAAAATACGTTCACAAACAAGCAAACTACAACAGTTTACTTATTCTCCATAAGAATAACATGGGAATTTTAAATTTACAATTTTTTTGAATTTTCTCCGTAACCATTAGGCGCATAATAACGCTTCAATATACTAAATTATTTGTTTTTTTAAGCTCTACAAAATGGTTTGGAAAGAAATTGCTAAATTTTATGTTTTTTGGGTCAAAAATGGGAAAAACCTATTTTTACCCCATAAAACCCCCCGTAAACCCCCGTTCCCATGGTCCGATCATGCTGGATCGAGAACTCGTTCGAATAAACGTACGTTTACACGTTTGTACCAAATTTAATCAAAATCGGATCATTTTTGCTCGAGTTATCGTGCTGACGGACATATATATATATATAGGTAGGTATATAAATATATATATGAATTTGAACGGATGGTGTTTTTGGCCTCTAGGGACCTCAAAACTAAAAAAAAAATCGGTCCCGCGTCCAGGTCTTACCGTGAGTACTACGGTAATAGCTTATTCCCTATATGGGAAATTCGCTAAAAGCAAATTTTTGGGCACCTCTCGAGTTAAAATGCTGGTTAAATACTAGTAATTCAGGAGGGTTATGCGACATAGGCTTGGGGGCAATGGACACGGCCCTGGATTTATAAGTATTAAATTTAAGTAAATGGCAAAACTTACCATTAGTTAGTTCTCTTCAATCTTAGTCTTTACTTCGCCCCATCCTCCATCTCCTCTTCCTCTGACCCCTCTCCCCTGTATTCTTCAATGTCGGAGGATATTAATTACAACGCCCCCATTTTACTGGTAGGCTTCAGTTCTGTACAGAAATATTGCAAAAAATAGTGTTATACAAATAATTTTAGTCCAACAAATAATACAAGTGTGTACACTCCTTTCTATATTTGCGATATTCAAATACATACAGCTATTAGGAAAATGTTTGAGCAAATCTGGGTCAAGTTAGTACAAATATTATAATTTTTAACAATAATTTGGTTTAGACAAAATAAATTGGTTTAACTTGTTCGCTACCACAATTATATGGAATTTACGTTCGCATAGACCAGCGACGCAATTGTGCGTCGACTCGTTTCTCACAATAGACCACCGACGCATATTTGCGTCAGCTGATCACATTGGAATAGACTAACGACGCACACTTGTGTCGGTGTTCAATGTTATTAATCAGCGTATTTCTTAGCAACGGTCTATTTTAAAGCCCTGATTTTATCGTATCGGTCTAGAGGGATATCTGCCGCAAATGTGCGTCGCTTGGTCTGTGGATATGACGATTGGTTACGTCACACAACAGTTCAGTGACGTAGCCAGGATTTAAAAATAGGGGGGGTCGACCGACTGGGGGTTGGGGTAGTCCGGGGGTAAAATGGGGGTCCCGGAAAAATTTGAAAAAATAGGCCCTAAAACGGTCTTTTTTAGCTCTCTTGGCATTGAAAATAATCAACCCCAACGTCAATACAGTATGATTATATAATTTTACATTTAATTTAACAAAAAAATATTATATTTAAGACCGGAAGGGGGGGGTCTGGACCCCCAGGACCCCCCCCCTGGCTACGTCACTGAACAGTTGGCAACATTGTTGTTTACATTGTGCATTCCGCGACATCTCAGAACAGATGTAAACGTTATAACCTTTGCACTTTTGGCGAGTGGTGGAGTTTCTTTATTTGTTTGTGTAAAAGCTTGAAACAACCAAATTTACAACGACGCTTAAACGTGTGTCGCCTGGTCTATTGAAACGAAAATGTAGGTAATCTTTTTATCTAGATTTCATTAAATAGACTGACCAACGCATATATGCAGCGTTTTAAAATTTGCTCAAAACGATAAATAAAAACAATATTTATTGCTTACTAATTCACTCAAGGTTAATATGAAGTCAATTTGTCCATTTAAACGATATTTCTCTTTTGGTCTGTTGGCAATGTTATTCCTATATCACTTGGTCTGTAAGCAACATCATGATCATTCCTTTTGGTCTGTAGGAGTGACCGGACCAACGCATATGTGTGTCGCTCGGTAGCGAACGTGTTAAATATTAATTATTTGTTATTTCCCAATTCGCAAAAATGCAAGCTCTAGCCTAATTAAGACATTTCCAAACAACATGTTTCGAGATGTATCCAAATACATTTTAAGTAGGGGCCTAGTTTTAAATTTTTATAAAAAAAACTATAAATTTGCATAAAGATTATAATTAATTATCCTTATGTTCCACCAAAAACTATTAATAATAGTTAGTTTTGTGTAGGTAACTAGTGGGCGAAGTGGCACTTTGCTACACCTAAGAGAAATGTTTACGCACGAGCCGTAGGCGAGTGTGGAAAGTTTCTCGAGTGCAGCAAAGGCAGTTTGCACTTGTGTTACACATTATATTTTCCCTAAAGTTACCATAAAACATATAAATAATTAGTTGTTCAAACTCTGTTCAACACTAAATGCAAATGATTCAGTTTGGATCAGTTTCTATGGTTGTCGATAATATGGAACCCACCCAAATATGGACAGTAGGCCTAGGACATAAAAATCTTCCTTTCATTTATGATAACCCAACCTAACATAACCGCCGCAAAGCGCTGTATAGCCTATCTGTAGCCTCCGGATAATACTTACCAAAGTACACATTTGAACTTTGAATAACTTAGTTAACAAACATAGCCTAGAATCTATCACAAAGCGGAAAGAATGTTGACTCACCTCACTTAAGTTATGGTTAGACCAAGTAACATTATCACGGCAGTATGGTAATTGCCTCCAGGGTCCACAACTCTGGTCTCTCTTTCTCTCTCATCTGCAGTGATGTCGATGGCAATGTCGTCCAGAAAGGTTACTTAGTCCTCTTAACTTATTGGTTCAAGACAATATTTCAAATAGAGACCAATTTGGGTTCAGGTCAAATTACAGCCTTTGCTCCAGGATCATCTATAAAATTAACATTGATGTCATTTTTAATCCAAGTCTAGTAAATACAAACAGCTCTAGAATATTTGACAGCACATAATTTAACGTCCTACACTCATTCCAATGAATATATTTCTTTAATACTTTCTTTCTTATTACTTGGCGACCATACAAAGTAGGTACCGTATTTTAAGCCAAGTATGAATGGAAATGAGTGTAGGATCAGGATAAGTGGCACGATCTTGTAGTCTTGTTAGTGACTAAGGCCGACATTCCTTAGACACAGCTGTTAATTAATAGCCCATACAGCTAATGGCAACTAAGGGACCTACGGTTTATAGTGGAATCCGAACCACATTATTGCCTTGGGATACGAATTGGTCTAATTATCAGGATAGTACTGCGGATAGTCGTAGTACTCACTCGTGCGGACGTTAATCCACACCAGGGAGTATCGCATCCACAGTGCATGCCTATAAATATCCACAATTCGTGACCTCCTAAGCTGGATTACAGGACGACGCCACCCGTCCCAGTCATATTGATTATTTCATTCAACAATAAACTTAGGCCTACCTTATATCAATTTTGGGTAATGTTAGGGTAAAACCTAACCTAACTAACGGAATGAAATATTCAAAATATTAAATAGTCTATGTATTAATATCTTTCATTTGAATGAATGTAGGACCTAAACTAAAGTGCAGCCAAATATTTTTACACAAACAAATTCTTAAAGTTGACACTTGGTCAGTAGGAAAAAGAGACAATCCTAATAGCCTAGGGATAATGCCTATTCAAACATTTGCTACAATATTGCTTGATGATACAGAATTAGCCTACGAATAAGCTGTAAGGTATCTTAGGTTCTTGTTGGTGACTTACCTAAGTTAGTGTCTGGTAATGTTATTAAGTTATCATGTTGATTAAGTTTTCTATCATATAAAAACTAACTTATTTCACATTATTCCTTAAAAACTATTGTTTGTAACACTCGAGTTATCTATTTTCTTGTAAACAAGGAAAGAAATAAAAAAAAATAAATATTTAGGCTACAAGTTTTTAGTCGATAAATGGCCAGCTTGAAGATGTCCGTCGGAATTCGGAATCAAATTGCGACTCGTGAGTTGAGGAACTGAACGATGAATTAGAACAACTCCTTTTCAAGAGTAGCTCCGAAGAACGGGTGCTTGTCGATATACTGGGACTATTTCAGTGTCGACAAAATGAAACTATTTCATTGTCGACAATATGGGATGTCGACAATATGTGGTGTCGATCATTTGCGACGTCGGTTATTTGGGATGTCGGTTAAGTGGGAATATTCCAGTGTCGACAAACTGGGAATAATTCAGTTTCGATCAATTTCTACGGTTGTCGATATTATGGAACCCACCCCAACGGTTAATTCGAAACTTCGGAGGCAGTGTTATATAGACATCAGGCATTATAATCAAACATCGTTTCTCATATTTTTATCATCATGACTGTTTTGGTCATGAATGTAATAAAATGCAATATCAACAAAAACTGTTATTTAATATTTACAAATAAAATTGAAAGAGGAAAAAATCTTTAAAACTTGACTTAATATAGCCATAGATTACTATTGGTTGGAATGGTTGCCAATTCTATCAGGCCACGGCCTGGAGTTAGTGGCGGATCCAGAGGGGGGTGAAGGGGTGACCCACGGGGGTCGCCGGATTTCTACCCCCGGATATTTACCCCCATGAAAAAACGCCTACGTCATTTTGACGTCACGAGGGGCGGGGCTTATACATGGTCGAGAAACAGCCCGCGACTGGAAATCTACCCCCGGACATCTACCCCCAGACATCTACCCCCGGACATCTACCCCCGGACATCTACCCCCGGAAATCTACCCCCAGTGGTCAGCTCTGCCACGTATCAGCCAATATTCATTGTTGTAATTGATTTTATTAATTGTTTTATGTAAATCAACGTCTCTTCGGTTAATCATCACCCTCTAATATCTAGTATTAAGCATGTGATATGTCATTGCCTTGTTTAACATACTGTATCTATCTTCCTAATAAAATAAGTTGTAACAGCCCTTTTTCACCCGAACTACTTCACTGATATTTATGATTGAGGTCTAATTTTAAATCTTAAGATTCAGCTCAACGCAAAATGGTATTTAAAACCATATGTTGATAAAGGGCTTCAAAAGTGTGACCCTTAAGTATTTGATTCATTTCCAGACAGTGATTTAAATGGTTGACAAACTTTCACATACAGTAACAGCTAACAGCGCATGCATGAGCGCGGATCGGAAGTGTTTATCACAAAAGATTGACCAATACGATTTTAATACTATTTAAAGGTTCTTCCAAAAGAAGAGAAACCGGTTAACATTGTAATAATAACTGTTATGACGTAGACCTACGGTATGGGAAATATTTTATTCATTGAATGATCAACCATATTTTGTAACTAACGCAATAGTCATTATTGCTTTTACACTTATTACTCATCAAAAGAGCTAAATGCTCAAAATTTGTATTACTTCAATCTATTTATCGCAGTTGTAAAATGAATTAGCATAAGCCTTGAAAGTAACCGTCAGTGTCGACGGGTTTAACCTAATTCTGTTCTGTATACTACCTTAAAATGCCTCATTTTAACATTTTTGAATAATTGTCTTATTTTAGGTATTTAAGAGAAAATACTTTAAAATCCTTTCTTAGTACGCATCTAAAATCTTAGAAACTAAATTTTTTTACTACTAGGTGATATGAAAAATTTACCATTATACACCTGACTTTTTATTGATCCTCTTTCTCAATTTAACAGTTTACAACTGAATTGTCTTATTTTAGGTATTTAAGAGAAAATACTTTAAATCCTTTCTTAGTACGCATTTAAATCTTAGAAACTATTTTTTTTACTAGATGATATGAAAAATTTACCATTATACACCTGACTTTTATTGATCCTCTTTCTCAATTTAACAGTTTACAACTGAGTTTTGTTTTACTAAACAATTATTCCTACTAGGCCTGCATTGAATAAACCGGAAGGTCACCACAGTTTATTCACTTTATCCTTTAAGAAATGTGTGTAAAAACAATGGTTCAGTACGATGTAACACTTGACCATGTGAAAAGTGCGCAATATTATATTATTTTCATAACTTGTTCATCTCCTGTTTACAGTTGCAGACGATCATTCATGTTTTCACAACCTGACTTAAAAATTGATCTGATGAGTACTCCTCACATTTCACTTTTAAACTGTTACTGTATAGTGTAAAAGTTGGTCAACCATTGGAAGCACCTTCTAGGAATAAATCAAAGGCTTAGGGGTCAACATTTTGAAGCCATAATCGAAATATCCTTTTAATTACCATTTTGTGCTGCGCTAGATCTTAAGCTTTTAAAAGACACCTCAATCGTAAAAATCAGTGAAGTAGGTCGGGTTGAAAAGGACTGTTACAACTTATTGAATTATAAATATGGATAATGTTAAAACAGACATCGACATATCGCATGTTTACTACTGGATATAAGAAGGTAAAGCAATTTATAAAATCAATTATACAACACAATGAATATTGGCCGATACGCGGCAGAGCTGACCAATAGGGGTAGATTTCCGGGGGTAGATGTCCGGGGGTAGATGTCTGGGGGTAGATGTCCAGGGTAGATGTCCGGGGGTAGATTTCCAGTCGCGGGCTGTTTCTCGAACGTGTATAAGCCCCGCCCCTCGTGACGTCAAAATGACGTAGGCGTTTTTTCATGGGGGTAAATATCCGGGGGTAGAAATCCGCTACCCCACCCACGGCCGCCTTTAACTACAGGCCGCGGCCATCGAACTGGCAACGTCGCAAGTGGTGCTGTGTCACGTGACTGTGTTGTTTACATTTTGTTTGGATTGGAAGCAGCCGACGCCGACATCCGACACGCACTTTTAATCAGTTTTAATACACTTTGCACTTGCAGAATGCAGAGTGCAGACCTGTAATGTGTAATCAAGTAGCCTAGTCTGTTGTTCCACTTGTACAGTAGACACAAAATATGCTAAGTTAATTATTATTTCTGTAAATCATTTGAAGAATCGAGTTTTATCAGAAACAATACGTAAGTTTGATTTTGGTAACAAAAACTAAAAACTACAGATTAAAGAACCAGCTCAGATTTCCGTTCTAATCTTATTGTCAAATTGCCCACGTATTTATTAACTTATTAAGTAAGCCTATTTTGTAGTTTGATCTAGGCATTGTCTTTATAAATTTAGCCAACATAGATCTGAAAGTAACAGACATAAAGATTGCGTCAATTAATCCCTTCATAAAGTTGAACACAGATAAATTTAAATGTATTTTTTAAAGTAATAATTGAACAACAAAATGACCCTCACGAAAGTATTCGTGCTACTGGCCTATTGTCTTAACTTAACAGCATTATCATAGACATTAAGTTTATGATCCATATCGTGTCTGTTCGTTTAAAGCCTACCATTGGCCTGTTCCTGTTCTAAGTTAACCCTAGCAGTGGCCAATGTTAGAAGTGGGGAATGGCCAACCCATTTTGGCGATTTTGCAGACCTTTTTTTAAAAATCTGTCAAAATTACAAATATGGACTCAACCTATCAATGTTTGTATTCATTTTATTCAGAAAAAGCAGGAGAATCTGAATATATAAATAAAAATTGAATCTGAGTTGGTAACTTTTTTGAAAAATAAAAAAAATTCAAAAAATTTGATTGAAATTTCAAAAGTAAAGTCTTGTTATTACTACAGTATAATTTTCAGACCAAAACCATTATATACATTTTGTAGTAAATTCAATTCCCTACATAGAAATGTATAACACATGGGAGAAATATTTTTTTTTTACAAATGTTATGTAAGAAAATGAAGAAAATTCAAATTTTGTCGCATAAGACGAATAATTAGTAACTCGGAGATAACTCATGTAAGGTAATTAGTGATAATAATATAGTACACATATTCTTGTAGGTTATAAACTAAGGAATACAAATATGTCACATTGTAGGCAGTAAAAAAATTTTGATTACCCGTTTATGATACAAAAAACTAAAAATTTACAGTTTACATAGAAAAAAATTCAAAGACATTTTTGAAAAAAAATTTTGTACAGATTTTTGTAGGCCAAACATATTATAAAAATGTTATAGTACATTCAATTCTCTTTATAGAAATGTATAACACATGGGGAAAATATTTTTATTTACATGTGTTATGTAAGAAAATACGAAAAATCGCAAGGTTTGTCACGTAAGACGAATAATTAGTAACTCGGAGATAGCTCATGTAAGGTAATTAGTGATAGTAATATAGTACACATATTCTTGTAAGTTATAAACTAAGGAATACAAATATGTCACATTGTAGGCAGTAAAAAATTTTTGATTACCCGTTTATGATACAAAAAAACTAAAGATTTGCCGTTTATGTAAAAAGAAATTCAGATATTAGACTTTCCAGTAGGCTTATACTCATGCATAAAGATTACTGTTAGTCCTAAAACACAAAAACATTACTAACAAAAAAAACTACATAACTACAAAATCCGAAATTAGAATGATTCCCAAGATATTCGCTGAACAATATTTACTTTCAAAACGTAAGTCAGCTGATCCGCACAAAACAAGCAGAGTACTGTAACTTGGTCAGATGGCAATTTTCTTTTGTTGCTGACAGAACACAGAAATTATACAGTGATCAGGGCTGCCATTTCTCAACACTAAATTATTCTACGTTTCCTACACTACAAAAGGATATTATATTTGAATAGTTATAAATATTCCATTATATATATATTTCGACTTTAGAAATGGTCCTGGCGGGACCATTGGCCATTTGTTAATTTTTGTAAAATTACGTGTTTTCTAAAAATCATATGTTCTTTGCTATCAATGTATTGATAAAATAATCTATGCCAAAATATTCAGCAACTCTACTGCTATCTAGTGGTATAACTCGCATCCAGATAGGGAAAAAACTAACCTCGCTATGATTTTCTAAACTTTATGTGTTTAGCGGTTACGCAACCCTACAAGTGGAAGTAGATTCGCGCGGAAATTTTCATTCAAATTTAAATTGCAATTACGTTGACATATTGACGCTAGAAGGTTCGTTTATATAATAAAATGAAAGTTTAGAATGTCATCTTTCGAATGGTATATGAATTATCCACTTTAAAGATAATTATCAATTAGTTTTTAACGTTAAAAATGTTTGGACATAAATGGTCCCGGCGGGACCATGGCCATTCTAAGGGTGCACGGTGAAATGGTCCCGCCGGGACCATTGGCCACTGCTAGGGTTAAGTTAGTACTGTATTCGTGGGTTAGACATAGCCTATAGAAGCATTACATAGTTAGTTTCTCTAAATTTTTGTCCAGACAAGGTAGTATCAGAGAGGGCCTAGGCTAGGCTTCACTGTGGACATCTAACTGATAACCTATTTAGTCTACCATGATCATTTAATGCTTAGGGAATTAAGTTAACAGGCATGTAGGCTATTGGTTAGTAGTGGATCTTAAATAACTTACGTATAACTAAAATGGCTTTTGCAAGACTAAATTAAGACTCACTTGTGAAGCCTAAATTGTATTTCTTCGACTCTCTGGTAGGTTATAAGTTAGCAAATATTTTAGTAAGTTATAGTCTAATGTAACTAGGCTACCATCTGAATACCATCTCTTCGTTTTTGACCAGGTTTACTGGATTAACTGCGTCAGTTTTCTTAATATTATATCAAATAGCAAATAAAATGTTCTTGTCATTTTCAAAAGAAAAAAAATAATATTATGTACAAATATGTCAACTCACAAACTTGGTGGTTGAAGTAGGGTTTTGAGTCAGTTACTCGCTAGATTATCCTCAAGGAAATCCTTGATGGAGAAATAGGCCGACTGAATAAGTTGGTCTTTCATTTTTCTTTCAAACTTCTTGGTCTCAAGGTTTCTCAAGTTCTCCGGCAGCTTGTTGAACAGCTTCATTGCCATGGCAGGGAAACGGCGTTGTGTGCTTATTAGGCGTGTTCTCTGTATATCTAACTTAGTAGAGCCACGTGTGGCGTGGTAGTGGACATCGCCTCTGGTTGTAAGCGCGTTCAAGTTCTTCTTGACATGTACCAATGAGGATAAGATATACATCGAGTAGACTGTGGGCACGCCTAATCTCCTAAAGATGGGTTTGCTGTGCTCACGCCGGTCACTAGAAGTGATGACTCGGATGGCCGCCTTCTGCAACCTCAGCACTGCCTTACAGCTTGGGGAGTGGCCCCAGAGCAGTATGCCGTAACTCAAATGGCTGTGGAAAAGGCCGTAGTAGATGGTCAAGAGATAGGATTCAGTCAGGCTGTTCTTCAATTTGCGAAGTAGAGATACTACCCTTGAGAGGTTTTTTGACATCTCTTCCGTATGACTCTGCCAGTTAAGCCGTGTATCAATAAAAAATCCAAGAAGTTTTACTTGAGGTACGATGTTCGCAGGCGGAGTTCTGCCCAAGGTGCAGATGAGTGTTTGGGTCTTGTTGACATTTAGCTGAAGTCTATTGGTCTTGAACCATTTCTCGGCGGAGGTCAGCTCCAAGGCCATCTTTCTCTCAATTTCCGTCACCGAGCATCCACCTAATACAAGGGTGGTATAGTCCGCATACATGAGAGCCTCGTCACCACACTTAAAGTCGTTCACCATTAGCAGGAACAGGAGAGGTCCAAGTAGCGAGCCCTGCGGGACACCGTGTTCCACCCTGCGTTCTCCCGAAAGAGCCCCATCAATTGCAACCACCTGTCTTCGATTCCTAAGGTAAGAAGAAAATGTAGCAAGCACAGTACCTTCCACTCCATAGGCTTCATGTTTGGCAGAAGAACTTCGTGAGACACCACATCAAACGCTTTGCTCAGGTCTAGTAGGACTAGTTGGCCTGTTCACGATCCCCTTTTTTATACACAGGGGCAACCCTGGCAACCTTCAGCCTATCCGGAAAACAACCCTGATCAAGACAAGAATTTATCACATGAGTCAGCGGACCTACGAAATCCTTAATCGTATTTTTGACTATGTTTACACTGATACCAAATACATCTTTGCTTGCTTTAGGGTGAAATTTAGCAACAAGTGATAATACTTCTGCCGGAGTAACGTTTTTCCACCTTGTCAAGCGGGTTTTAATTGTCACATTGGGCTTTGGATCTAATACAAAATGGCCATCTGCAGGAGTTAGCTCACTCGCAATATTACCAACCACACTTACAAAGTAGTCGTCTATTTCATCCGGGCTACTCACACAAGCAAGATCCACAGGTTTCCTGCAAAGTTTGTTAGCGATACTCCAGGCTGCTTTGCACTGGTTGGGCGACTCCCTTATGAACTTTTCATTTGCTGCCTTCTTTGCATTCTTCACCATGCGCCTGTAACACCTCTTAACACGTAAATACTCATTATAGTTTACCTGCCTTTGATCGGGCGTAGTCGAATGCTTTACTCTATCATGTAAGATAATTACAAACTCCCTGAGCTTATGAAGTTGAGGTGAATAACAGTTCCTAAGTGCAGGAGGGCCGGACCGAGCCTTTACTTTAGAGTTATTGTTCACATTGGGATGACCTGAGTTTTTCCGACGGGTTTTCAAAGGAAAGCAGTTTTCAAATTCACTGTAAAATCTATCAAAGAAATTATCAAAAAGTTCATCTGCATTATGTATGGTCATTATCGGATCCCAGGAAATATTTCTTAATCTATTCAAAAAGAGCAGCTGAGAATCATCGTTAATTACTCTGTATGCAAATGTGTATTTGTCATGCCAAATAGGTTGAGGTGAGGTACTTACAGGAGTAGAAGTAATTTGCAACGTCACAGCACAGTGATCTGCCACCACCTCCACAGAAGTCACACAGTCCTCAGGGTCAAAGTTTATCGCAGCACTATCGAGACAAGCAATCCCCCTCGTGGGTTGGAAATTAGTCAGGTAGAAGCCATACGACCTTAGCAGATTAATCAGTTCAAATTCTTCAGATGATCCGGTGTTTAGGTGTACATTTAAGTCACCTCCAATGAAAATACGCTTGTGCACTTTGGTGACAAAATCCAGACACAGGTCGAGCTGTTTTAAGAAACCATCGATGCTTCCCCCTGGGGAGCGGTAAACCACAAGAATAAAGAATGACTCGTCAACAAGTTCAATTCCAGTCACTTCGAATATTTGCTCTATACAGAATTGTTCCAATTTCAGTTTTGTACACTTAAAATTACTATTTACAAATATGGCTACTCCACCATTCTTCTTAACAGTTCTACAATAGGCTGATACCAAGACCTTATCACCCAAAGTTATATTTGTTAAAGATTCCGGGTGTGTCAACCAGTGTTCACTGACACAGATAATGTCTGGTATTTTTAATTCATCAAATAACAACAACAGATCCCAACTAGTATGATATTGTCGGTTCATGTCGATTTCTTAAAGATATTTTTTAAGTACCTATACTGATTTGCATTCTGTCCATCTTTTATGCTACATTTCCGTTATTTAACTTAAGGTCACTTCAAATTGACAACTACAATAATTTTTCATTGTTCAGTATCAACAGTCTTTGGTGAGTCGGTGGATCAGTTGGTAGCGTCCGGACTTCGGGCCTAAGGCAGCGATGTCGTGGGTCCGGATCCTGGTTACTGCCACTAAAATTTATCAGTACAGTTCACCTTCGTACTGTACCGGTTCACCCCTTGCTTTGCTAGATACGTTTCACAGCCAGATCTGTAGTCTTTGTGGATAAAAGAGGCCGCCAAGGGGCCATTCCATATCAAATCAACAAATAAAAATCAGTTTTCAACCTGACCATCTTGGATTACTTTGAAATTTGGTATGCTTATAGTTCTAACAAATACAAACAGAAAACTGGTTTTTGTTTATTTTGATCTTTTCCCGTTTATTTATAATTAATTTTTTTAAACATCCAAAATCGGCATTTTTTTACTTGCGGGGAGAGTTAAATTATAAAAAAAAAACTTGTCTGGATGTCAATGTATGTAGTAGAGATCATCTAACTCATTTATATGTTTTACCAGGTTGGATTGCTGAGCAGCATGGGTGAAAGATTTCTACAACAGTACATCTACAGTAGATGTAACTAGTAACTAGGAGGATGGTGGTTGAACTAATTGCTACAACATTTTTCCATGCAGAAAAAAATATTGGGACCGAGCAAGGCTAAACCAAACAAATGCAAATGCAAATGTTGGTAAGTTTAATGAAATTACATCCGCACCTACATGGCTTTGCCAATTATTGGTCTCAGCCTAAATGAAAGAGTGAGTTGAAATGCATAAACTTGTTTGAATTTCGATGTAATATAGATGCAATCTTGTTTTTTACAATTGTTTGAAGGGAACGGAAAAATCAATTGTTTGATCTGGGTAACTATTACGGTATTAACCAATTAAACTAAAAATTTGAATAAAAAAAATTCAATTGCATTTTAATTATTTACAGCTTGCAGGCTAATTAAAAGTGTAATTCAAAATTGTTTTTTATCAAAAAAAAGTTTTATTTAGGCCTATTTAATTAGTAAATAATAGCTACCCATATCACTAGTGGTGATCTATTAAACTCATTGCTACATTGTTGTCTAATGTTAAACATGTAGCAAAATGAAATGAAACAGAGGATAGCTATCGCCCGCGCTCTACTGAAAATCCCATCCATCCTCATACTAGACGAGGCTACCAGGTCAGTTGCAAGGGAATGACTTGATCGTAAAACATGTTAAAATGTAACATGTAAAAATGTAACATGTGGAAATATAAGAAGTTAAATGTAACGTGTTAAAATGTAACATTTTAAATTGTAACATGCTTAAATGTAACGTGTTAAAATGTAACATATTAAAATGTAACATGTAAAATTGTAACCTTTTAAAATGTAACATGCTTAAAGGTAACTTGTTAAAATGTAACATATTAAAAACGTTATGAGTACTGGTATGAGTAAAAGTTTTATGTCAGCTTGGTGGTTGAGTGATTATAGTACTGCTGTACTCGCCTTGTAATCAGAAGGTAGCTGGTTTGATTCTATGTTACTTTGTTTGTATTACCTGTCACTAGTTTGGTATTACTAATTTAATTAATCTTTGTCACAGGTGTACGAGGCTGCTGGGCTGGCCAATGCTGACAGTTTTATCCGACAGTTCCCTGATGGCTACAGTACCATTCTGGGGGAGAGAGGAGTTACCGTGTCTGGGGGCCAGAAACAGAGGATAGCTATCGCCCGCGCTCTACTGAAAATCCCATCCATCCTCATACTAGACGAGGCTACCAGGTCAGTTGCAAGGGAATGACTTGATCGTAAAACATGTTAAAATGTAACATGTAAAAATGTAACATGTTGAAATATAAGAAGTTAAAATGTAACATGTTAAAATGTAACGTGTTAAAATGTAACATTGTAAAATGTAACATGCTTAAATGTAACGTGATAAAATGTAACATATTAAAATGTAACATGTAAAAATGTAACATGTAAAATTGTAACCTTTTAAAATGTAACATGCTTAAAGGTAACTTGTTAAAATGTAACATATTAAAAACGTTATGAGTACTGGTATGAGTAAAAGTTTTTATGTCAGCTTGGTGGTTGAGTGATTATAGTACTGCTGTAATCAGAAGGTAGCTGGTTTGATTCTATGTTACTTTGTTTGTATTACCCGTCACTAGTTTGGTATTACTAATTTAATTAATCTTTGTCACAGGTGTACGAGGCTGCTGGGCTGGCCAATGCTGACAGTTTTATCCGACAGTTCCCTGATGGCTACAGTACCATTCTGGGGGAGAGAGGAGTTACCGTGTCTGGGGGCCAGAAACAGAGGATAGCTATCGCCCGCGCTCTACTGAAAATCCCATCCATCCTCATACTAGACGAGGCTACCAGGTCAGTTGCAAGGGAATGACTTGATCGTAAAACATGTTAAAATGTAACATGTAAAAATGTAACATGTGGAAATATAAGAAGTTAAATGTAACGTGTTAAAATGTAACATTTTAAATTGTAACATGCTTAAATGTTACGTGTTAAAATGTAACATATTAAAATGTAACATGTAAAATAAAATTATTAAAAGTATCGCAATCCTCTAAGGTCTTGAAGATTTAAAAAAAACAATAAACCACTTCAAAAAGTAACAGTTCGTGTTATTTCCTAATACGACACCACGACTTTAAACTTCTGTAATTAGTGATGTCACACGGGCGTGTTTCATACGCAACTTCTCTTTATGGTTTTATGACTCACTCTTCACATTTAATTACCGATATACGCCGATGCTGCAACAACGACAACAGTAAATCACAAGTAGTGAGGTTAGGTTGGTGTCGCAATTAAACCCCTTCCCGCCAAAGGGCAAGGCCCATGGCTGGATGAGCGACGACAATGGATCAGCTGATCTCCCCCCTCTTTGTTATCATGTAGCCGTAACAATACCTCGTGACTCCACCTAATTGGCATTATTCAATTTCAGTAACCACAGATGAAAGTGGAAGCAGATCCCTCATTCTGGTACGCAGGTCCTGCTAAAAGATTTCCTTGATGTACCTGTATGCTTGTGGGGAGGTAAACATTAATCAAGTCTAAATTCCTGGAATTAATCTGTTATAGCATCTCTTATATTAATACGTGAGGGCTGTTTTTTGTGAACAAAACTCCTCCGTTATTTCTGGACCGATTTTAACGTTTGAGGTGTCAAATAATTCGTCTCAATTCTTAGTTTTGCATAAAGGTTTTAGAATTTTAAAACTCTTACCCTAAAGGGCACGAGACGCTCTCAAAAGTCTCATTTTCCCCATAAGAATTACATTGAAAACAAATTTAAAAACAAAAACAGCTGTATATAAAAAGAAACTCACCAGCTTCATGGGAGTAAATATTGATATTTGTAATATTTAAGAGGTTATAGACAAATCTATACAGTCAATCAGTTTTGTTAGAAGAACAGAAAATTTCTCAAGTTTAAAGGAGAAATATTGAAAACAGGAGGAGAAGACAATTAATAGGAAATCTTATACGTATGAAAAGAGTAGAGGAGAGGCCTGGTCTCACAGTAAGGAATCCAGGTACACAATCACTTGGATAGATGAATAATTTTTGCCAGTTATGCTAAGCAACTTATTTTGGAAGTAAAAAAAAACCATGAAGAATATACACATCATGTTGTCATAGTGGTAAAGTAAACCTACCTAAAGTCAGATCAAATAAATACTTGCAAGAAATGTTTACTGGTAACAGCTTTAATTTGGGAAACATTTTTAGAAAAGACTAAAAAATAAGGTCGGGTCCAAAAAATTCTAAAATATTTTTACAAGAAGCGTTTATTATTTCAAAGAGCTATTAAATATCGTGACTATTTCAATTAGTTACATAAGCATTTAGTTCGGTCTTTCATACTCATCGAAAATTATGACTGTTATTAATGTAGTTTCAAAATAACTTCTGTATAATACCGGTACTTGACAATTGCTCGATTTTGAGCAACAGGTACACTAGTATTAAATTAATTCATTGTCATTCGTTCGATAAATGTATTTGAAATGTCCGTGGATTGTTCCTTATGGGGTTTATTTACTTATAGAACGCTATACATGTGTTATAAAAACAGTTTTTGGGACTTGCGCAAAGTTTTCTGGCGGAGTTTTAATTTTTACTGTTATTATCATTGCACCGTCAATTGGACGTTCGTGCAAACATGTCGTAAATGACTTGTATTTTTTAAATTACCGGACATGAAATACTGGTTATTCACGTAGAGGATGGCCTGGATAGTGATTTGCTTTGTGAGATTGCCAGTCAATGTCGAATGTATTTTTTATAGTTGTTATGTCTTCACGTCCGGTGTTCCTTTCTCAGTATCGTCTGGTGCATTCGGTGATTCGGTTCGTAAATGGTTTGAATTACAAAAATTCTGACATTTCAAAGTCGATTTTCCATCGTAGGGATTGGAAATTTAGATAAACTAAACTCAGTGTTTATGGGATATCGTTGGAGATGACAACACAATGTATTCATTATTGTCTCAGAAAGAAATAACTTTGGAGGTGATGGGCGATTCGCTTAAACTAATCCGACAAAACATGGCCACGTCTAAATCTTGTTGACTCCAAGGTCACGGGATTTATTTGTTCGTGGTGTTTATTTTTATAATTTTCTAGTAGACGCAACACTTTTTGAACTGTAACTAAAAAAATTGATCATCACGAGTATTTAATTTAGTTGTTGTAAAGGGTAAGGGAAGATGCTTGAGTGTGGCATAGGGATATTTTACGGCGTGGAGATTAGCATTTATTTGTTGAAGGGAACATTTCTAGGTCCGTGTTTCCGCAAGGTAACCTTTGGATGTTCTTGAAATGGAGTTATGAACTTCCTAAAGTAGTTTATAAAATTACGTTGTAACTCAAGGCATGTTTATTTTTAAACTAATTCCGTCTCTTAGGCCTATATCTACCTGACAAGGCTCAACTCATCACGAGTAGTCGTAGTAAGTACTAATAAGTCACGACGCCGACGACACTATTTGCTGTTTCCTAGAGATTCACTCACTTTCCCTCCGCACGAAGCGATTTAAACAGACTTTATTCAACTATTTCGTGTCTCTTCCCTCGTTATGTTAGTTGTTGAAACTGGTTACGCCATTATTGTACAACTCCCTAGTCAATCAATACTCTAGAGATTACGGGTTTAAGTCATACAAAATTATGTTCAATCCGTTAGAAAACACTAAGGAATATTTTGTGCTATATATGTTTATGAGTGAAGGCGTGTGTAGCAAAATCATGTTTTACCATGGTAGCACAATTGATTTGGATTTGGCCACAAACTTCTCATGTAAAATCTCAATCTGAAGCTAATTTTGCGTGGGTTTTATACCCGTTTGACTGAAAAAATGTCCACTAAGTGTTTCTAAGCCTATTTTAAAGTGAATTTCAGCTTCAGTCATCACTGAATCTCATAAGTTCACGTTACGGAACGTAGGCTACACACGAACAGTAAAACAGAAACTGTATGGATCATAAATACAAATTATGTCACTGGCCCGAAAGCATATTTGTATTAATATTAAAATGGAGTTTGTCAAAAAACATCCATACCAGCTATTACGGCTATTAGTATGGCCCTTTGGGTCAGTGACATAATTTGTTTATATGTGTATTATAACCGTTTCTGTTGTAATATTCATGAGGCTATAACCTAAAAATACGTATACTTTGTACACTAAATCTTGGGAATAAGTCACCAATCGGTACGAAAAGTACATCATGCGATGATAATACAATTTACAGCGTGGTATATGATCAATGCCTGAAACTCTGACAAAACATCGTGGTCTGCACCGTGCACCACGACCGCCACCGGTTACCAAAACCGTCGCTTCCCGTGTTACGCTAACCACAGTTACATACTAGTAATCTGAATTTGCGATCTGAGTCCATTTCCATTAACCCTTTAGAATTAACACTTGCACAATTGAACGCTCTAGTGAAGAGTGGTTTATGAACTACCAGGAAATTGTGTTTATCTTTACGACGACGACGACGACGACGACGACGACGACGGTTTTTATGTCAGCTTGGTGGTTGAGTGATTATAGTACTGCTGTACTCGCCTTGTAATCAGAAGGTAGCTGGTTTGATTCTATGTTACTTTGTTTGTATTACCTGTCACTAGTTTGGTATTACTAATTTAATTAATCTTTGTCACAGGTGTACGTGGCTGCTGGGCTGGCCAATGCTGACAGTTTTATCCGACAGTTCCCTGATGGCTACAGTACCATTCTGGGGGAGAGAGGAGTTACCGTGTCTGGGGGCCAGAAACAGAGGATAGCTATCGCCCGCGCTCTACTGAAAATCCCATCCATCCTCATACTAGACGAGGCTACCAGGTCAGTTGCAAGGGAATGACTTGATCGTAAAACATGTTAAAATGTAACATGTAAAATGTAACATGTTAAAATGTAACGTGTTAAAATGTAACATTTTAAAATGTAACATGCTTAAATGTAACGTGTTAAAATGTAACATATTAAAATGTAACATGTAAAAATGTAACATGTAAAATTGTAACCTTTTAAAATGTAACATGCTTAAAGGTAACTTGTTAAAATGTAACACATTAAAAACGTTATGAGTACTGGTATGAGTAAAAGTTTTTATGTCAGCTTGGTGGTTGAGTGATTATAGTACTGCTGTACTCGCCTTGTAATTAGAAGGTAGCTGGTTTGATTCTATGTTACTTTGTTTGTATTACCTGTCACTAGTTT